GGGGGGGGGGGGGGGGGGGGGGGGGGGGGGGGGGGGGGGGGGGCGAAGTAGAAGTAGAAAATCACAATGTGCAGAGTTGAACGACAGCTAGATGTGCATTGACACATGCTTTAAGTGAGCAGCAACGCCGACTCACAAACAGACACAGCAAACTTGTAAACTCCCTCACCGCGGAAGCTTCGCAGAACAGAGGTGAATATATATATATAATTAATATATGAATAAAAAGTAGAATATATATATATATATATATGTAACATACACACACACATATATATATATAACGAATTTACTATAGTTATATGTGTCATTCTTGCATGATTCATTTGGATCACCTTAGCTTCCAGTGGTGATGTTAACCTTCAACTGTCTCCGAAGACGCAGGTGGAGGTGGGAACAGACAAGTATCGCTGGAGCGAAATAGCAAATGCACCGGAAACGTTCTGAACACAGTGCGTGTTTCAGTGATGTTTTCTAATGAACATGCGGTTTTGCCACAGCAAAACGTGAGTTTGACAATAGAAAACCAAAGGAGAGACGACCTGAATGCCTAACTTTTTGGAAGTGTGAAAACGATGCCGCTACAAGAGCAATGTGACTAAAGCTAAATGGTTTGCCTTTAGCCTGGCTGAAGGGGAGTGACCCAAGGCTAAATGAGACTCTGCGGGCCCTGATTGGCGTCGTTGCCTTGTTCAGTCTCTGTGCTTTGCCTTCTGCATTCCGCCTTTGTGTCTTGTTCTGTTCTGCGTGTCATCCTCAATTTGTCACAATATTGCTCACGACCCCTTTTCTTCCAACTTATTCCCATATGCTTGCTGCATTGCTTTGTGCCCGCCGGCAGGACAATAGTTAGTAACCTGCAACCCTTTCCCCTTATACAAACCTACAGGATGAGAGTGGAATTGTGGCTTATAGTATGCATTCTGATTGACTGTAGTTCGGGGGGTGGAAGCTCCGCCACTGGAATTCCATTGGGAAAAATCAGTCATCTCAGATTCTTTAAAGAAAGTGTCAGTGTTACCAAACTTTCGCCCTCCTGAAGGTTTGCAGTACTTGGCTTGTCGGTTGCACAAACCGTTCCCCTCTTCCAGCAGGAGAGCATTGTGCAACTCCAGCACTAAACGACTGCCACATTGCTGGATTTGACCAGTGCAATTCGAGAAACTCCAAGCAATACATTGTGAGGGCCTATTCCAACATTACTCGAATCTCTCTCTCTCTCTCTCAGCGCCTGAGCACAACACACGGAAACGGCTTTTATGTCAATCGGAGAGAAGAAGAGCGAGAGAAAGGTGGAGTCTGGTACGGTGCTGCAGAGGTACAATGATGCACGGCGCTAACCGGCAGACCACAATGCCACAACCCCCAAACAAACTAAATTTGAGGTTTCACGTGGGGGCCGGGCTTGTGCCATAGGAAAGAACACGGCAATGATGCCAACCGGGGCCTTTCGCAGCTTGCAAGTCTGAGTTGAACGCAGCATCCAATATGCTCCGCAGGATTGTTTTTGCGGACGCCTCGCAACATTAGTTTCCTATGTTCAGGCCCCATTTTTTTAAAGTTTGTTACAGCTTCAACAACCTCTATGATGAAAAGTGTGCAATCTGTAAACTCACATGCCGCTTTCGCGAAAGCCTCTATAAGAAGTAGTGTTGGGAAAGCTTTCACGAAAGTCGATTTTCTGCGAAAGCAGCCTGGAGTAACACTGGAGCATATATACAGAAAATGTACAGGCAGTTTTGGAAGCCACTTTGTTGGCAGGGTGACGGGGAAGAATCTCTCTCTCTCTCTCTCTCTCTTCATGGCCGATAGAGGTCGGAGGACCGCTTTCGACGCCATGAGAAGTGCTAAACCCAGATTGACCACAAAAAAGAGAGCAGCAAGCAAGCCTTCCAGTCGTCGACAATGAACACAGTGATCGCAGCGAATTCGGATAGAGACGCAAATGGCCCGAAACGCGGGGTGGTTCTCACACGCGGAGAACACCTGCTCAAACACAACAAGAGAATATACACAAGGGTGCCGCGCTGTATCAGAAAAGCGGCTGCGGTAAACCGTGAGCAGTTATGCAAATTCTATACCAATCACACCTCGTCCTACCCCATCCCTGATCCACAATTTTCTCGGAAGCAAGGTGCATGCTGAGGCCAATAGCTTGGGTTTGTCCTTTTACCTGTAACAGTCAGTAAACGATTATCACCACTACTTTTGAACAAGGCCTTTGCTAACCATCATCATCCACTGCCATTGGGAATATATTGGATATATAGTATAGACACAACCAATAATAACGCCATTTCGGAGGCCCCACGAAAACTTCCCAAACATGCAACTGCAAACCGTAAAAAACGAGGTTTAGCGCCGGACCTTGGTTAGCGCCGTTGGCAAAAAAAAGGACCCTGAAAGAAGTGGAGAAAACATGTGAAGATGAAAGTATACAGTATAAATGCATAAAGCAGGTTACCACGCTGCTTTAAACCTTCAAAAGTTTTTTGCTTGTGTCTCATATCAGTAAGCCGGTGCCTGTGGTTGTCCTGTCAGCATCATCGTCTTCAACATCGTTTTCCTCACTGTGCCGTCTTATTTGCCTTATCATTATTGTCATTTGTCCCTGTCCCGTTGAAATAGTGATGCATTTTGAGATGTAGACAAACATGTAGATCTGGATGCCCTTTCGTAGATCGGACGCTGTTTTTTTACTTCCGACCACCTCACTGTAACCTAGTCGACCTGTGGACCATTATTGCAGCTGCATTGCAAGGAAGCCGCACAATCATACCATCTCTGTGCCGCTCAGACTCGCACGAATGCACTTGAGTGCACTGTTCAGCTTCAGCCTTTCCAGGTCAGATCTTGCATTCATCGGTGGTTACCATGGTCTCGTAGATCTTCGTGTCGGCGAAATTGCCCGGATATGTGCCTTGAGCGGAAGAGAACAAAAGGTGATATGATGAGCTTCATCTTGGGCCCCTGGCGCATGATTGAAAGTATCTGCTCTTTATTAAGGTGATGATGGTGCAGGCGTTGTTCTAAAGGATGGCTCTGAAATTGAATGCGGCCAACGCCCCAGCAACTCAAAAAACCAAGTCTTGCTATGCGAAGGATGCTTGGAATCATTGGGGTAGCTTGTAGCTGAGATACTATCATCAAATGCACTGGTTTCCACTTGAACGATGAGCTGCCTGAGGCCCTCTCCAATATTGGTTTTGTTTGGCTTGAAGCCTTGAAGCCCCTAAGCTCGCTTTTGCACCCTGTAGGTAGTGGGCACTTCAAAAATGCACTCCTACGGTCTCATCGACTACAATTTGAATTACCAGGCGTCGGTACATCGGCGCTTGCGCTCCATCGTGACTTAATTGAACATTCTTGTTGCAGTAAACCCAAGACCTGAGGCCGTCTAGCAGAAGGCAGAAGGTATTTGGGGTTCATGGCTGGCCTTCCTTTCACTACAGGCTGAGCCCTTGCTTGACCAGGGTCAGCCCAGTCCTTGGCATGAAGATTGACAAACATGAGCCAGGAATGCAATCAGCAGACTTAGGTTTGGCAGCTCAAAGGCAACAGATGCCGAAGCCGAGACACCTGCTTTGAGAGTCTTTAGCTCGGATTTTTCCACATGAGCTGCCCAAGCTGTTCAACCTGCTTTTGCTCAGGAAATTAACGAGCTAGTTCAGAAGCCGGAGTTCTTGAGGAGGGATTGCGTCCACAGACGGATATTGTTTTTGCTCAAGCTTACGCTATGGAAGCCCTTTGCCTGAGGGGGCTCCAAGTCTACAAGACATTTGGTCTCGACGAGGTTCGCAAGACGAAACAGACAAACACCATTGAGCATTTACTACTATATAGTAACAAGAAGCTACTATATAGTAACAAGATGTAACAAGGCACCGTACTACTAGTAACACGAAGCTACTTTTTAAAAAAGCCAGACAAAACAGCATCTCACATCGCGCCAGACACTTCTCAAACCACAAGGGAACCCGTTTGGCTCGGGCCAGGGTGGCCCAATCGAGTCTTGGCATTTGCCAGAGCTACTTGTAGCACAATCACGGGCGCATACTTCTTTGATAACTTGCTTGCTTGCTTGCTTGCCTTGACTTGACCATGTTGCTTAAGCCCAAGGATTGTTTGTCCTACTATTTTGCTTGGCTGGCCGGCTGCCTAGAATTCTCGTTATTTGCCAGAAGTTCAGTGCCCTTTGTTGTTGTATGCAGGTCGACCATCCAGCAGAGCAGGAGAGGAAAGCATGAATCAAAGCAGTCAGACAGACATTGTCAGACAAACGTCCGGCTCGAAACTATTCGCGTTGCATCAGACTTGACGGCACATGTTTGTCAGGCCGCATTGCTAAAACACAGTGGGGCACCAGCTCAGGAGCAATTCATGTGTGCAGTCGAGCCGTGTTAATTTTTGGCAACTATTCTTTGTGCTACTCTCTCTTTGGATCAATCATATTAGAATCACGTTGCAGGAAATGGTAATGTTAAATGCTCAGGAGCCACTGAGGAATGCAGAATCTCCTTTGTCGTGAGAGCATTTTGATGTTTCACAGCTCCGTGATCATGCCCGATGGCCCAGGTTGTGGTCTAGTGCGATTGGCCAAAACAACAGCGCAACTTTGGTCAGGCAAGCCGCTTGCGTTAAGTTTCCCTAGAAATCTAGGAACCAAATCATTAGTGCAAGCGCTTCTTCAAGGAAGCCCCCCGCCCTCAGGCAGGGGGAGCTTCCTTGAAGAAGCGCGAGCTACCCTGCGTCCTAGGTAGTAGCGTTCTTGTAGCTACTAGCGACTCCCTAGCTTCTACTAGCTACCTACCTAGCTAACCTACCTCACCTCTACACCGCCTACCCCCCTTTAATAGAAGAAGAAACATATCTCATTATCTCTCACCTTCAACTGAGGCTAATCAGCGCTCTTGCTGCCTTAGGAAAAGATCAGAGTTAGGTGCCAGACCGCTAGGCCCGAAGCAGTCCATCTCCATACTTTTGATTTCAACCATGCTTTTTTCTTTCTAAACAGTTTACAGACAGAATGCCAAAGTATCCATAAATTTGAATAGCGAATAAAAACGAGGATAGACATTCCTTTTTTGGTCGATCTTTTTTGGAGAGGTACTGCTTCGGGGGATGCGGCACTGTAGCTATGCACTCTTTAGATTTCCTGTGCGGAACCTCGTAGGTCTCGTAGGAAAGGTTGCAATGAACAGCCTTACAGTAGTGTGACTGCAGCGCTTTGCGGCTGCAAAAGGTTGTTGTCACTTATCTGTGTGCCATCCTGCGCGTCCTTTGGATTTTGTGCCATCCCATACGCTGCCAAACCTTGGAGAGATCAGGAGATCAATCTGAATCCGTGGGCGCTGTGGCGAATTCAGGCAATGGCATGTTGAAAGAAAACGTTCTTGCAAACAAAGTTGCACAGTAAACAATACGCGGCACAGTTTTTTCGGCCATATGAAATATGGCATGCTTTCTCACAATGCTGCTATGCCGGCGTGGGGTGGGGTATGACTTATGGTATCAGAGGCCTACAACGGGATTGCAGGCCTACACGTCAGATGATTTGTGGGCTGCTTCGATGCCGGTAGACCCGGTAGGATTTTCCCATCTTCGACTCTCTGTCGATCTTCGATGTTGATTTGAAAAATATCTAGGAACCAAATCATCAAGGCTGAGCCTTAAGCTTAGTAGCTTACCTCCTTAGGCTACTTAGCTTACTTCTAAGCCTCACCCTATGGCCTGACCCCACCCGCACATAACTACTTTCATGTTCAAAAACATGGTTTATTCAAAAAGAACTGTCCAAAGCTTCTTGTCTTCGTCCAAAGAACGAATTCAATGTTCGGGCGGGTGGTTTTGATATCGTGTCCAAGACCTGACGCGAAGGACGGACACTGCCACGTGTTGTTTCCTAAGACAGGTGTATTTAGACGGTTTTTATATGTGACATATATAAATTGGTATAATTTGCATTATTGTGAATTACTACTATTTTTACTGTCATTACCTTTACTAATCAAATTGTCAATAGAAAAGTAAAGGTGTTTCATTGGTCTTAGTTTTGAAGCTGGGCATAGCAACAACGGTTCTCTCGACAGGTTGCATTATATGCCGTTGAACTCGCGATGCACGCGCCCTCAGAGATCTGAAATTGTTGGTTGCCAAGCAATGCCATGCGTTTTTCCGCAGGCGATTCTTCGGGAATTCGTGCGTTGCAGGCTTGCATGACTCATGCTGACTGTGGTGGGGCCGTTGAACCAGTTCTGCAGATGCAGGAAAAAGCCGTGTGGTTCCATCTGTGCCCGAAGAGGTGGTTTGAGCTTCGCCGCTTTCAGCACGGCGTTGCACTTTGCTACTACTGCACGGCGTCGCAGGCAGCATATGCTGCACAAGTACAAGATATGCTGCCGGGGTCTCGTCAGAAGCCTGGAGAGGTCTTGCTTGCTTTTCACCCAAGGCTTGAGATAGTTCACCAGGCTGGGCACAGTACACATACGACTCATACTCTCATAAGGAAAAAAGATCTACTTGCATATACTGTATGTATTCATTATGGGCTTGTATTTTAATTGGCGGACCCCTCACCGGTCTATTTTCTTTCTTCAAGGGGATCTATGGTGTTATTCCAATGCGCACCGGTTTGTCTGTATATATATGTATATCTATTGTAGCAGCGGTAGCCCCACCCGGGGCATCGCACCGGCGCCCGTTTTATGCCTGAGCAATCGGGTTCCTGCGGTTCATACGGCCATGTCACGATTCACACTCCTAGGAATCTCAAAATTCGCGAACGATCTGCGTGCCAGGATAGGTCACATTGCTTGACGAAGGGCCTGGCGTGAAATTCATTGCCTCCATATAGGACATTATAGGACTTCAGGTCCTGCACCTTGGCGGAGCTAATGCCGGAGGTGCGAACCCACTGCAGGTAGCTGCACATGTCCTTCGATTCATGGCTCATCGTCAGCATCTCGTGGTAGCGGAGGTGTTGACTCTTGACCTTGGGCAAGGTGCAGATGGTGGCTCCCCATTCGGTCAAGGAGCTGATGCCATTTGGCAACACCACGGCCTTCTCTTTGCCACTGGCCTTTCCTGGTGGGATCGGCTTCTGGTGTTTCTCGGACATTCCCATCGCATGATGAACTGTCGTTGATGATGGCATGGGTCCGGAAGAGGCATTCACCATCTCGAAGCCATGGTCGCGAGCTGACTCATTGGAGCACAGGCGGCGTTTTGAACCATCATGCATGCTTCCATACGACGAGGGCTCAAAGGCGGCATCCAGTTCAGCATCAACTTCATCTTTAACCTGGGCAAGGACACTGGAAAGCTGGCCGGACTTCATGAGCTCCTTTAGCGAGTCATACGCTTCCTTAGACACTGGAGCGCTCTTGGACATGGACATTGGATCAGACTTTTTGCTGACCCACCTTTTAACACACAGGTACGGGCAAAGGTGCACTTACACTCTGAGGATCAGGGTGTTCGAGCGTGCTTCACTGCTTTTGAGCCACATGACACGTTCATCGCATTCAAAGCTGACAAGCCTTGACTTCCCCTGTGCCACTGCGAACAGTTGCTTTCTTGGATTTGACTTAGACAAATCACAACCCCTGCGACGCGAACGATCGATGTGCGCTCTCCGAGATCAACCTTGGCCCCCAACTTGACAAACACTATGAATTCATATTATGACGGCACTCAGTGATTGTCCTGAGTGTTCCAACTCCCCAACATGCCGTTGCCATCGGGTTCACCCGACAACGCTATGAGCAAGATTTCTATAACCCTGTTCGGCAGCATCACATGGCATGCTCACCCCCAAACAAAAAAATGTGGAAGCGAAGCAGATCCTTGGAGGTCACAATTGTGGCTCCTGGCTTTCAATCCATTTCTGCTTCTTTCTTTCTTTATGCTCGGCTTCCATACGTTGTTGTCGAATCCTTCGAGTTGTGCGCTCTTCTCTCAGTTGCTTTTTGCGTGCCAACACTTGAGCTTCGGCATGCAGCTGGTATTTGCCAAGGGACAAGGCTGAGCGAAGGAGGTCAGCTGCTTCCTGCTGATCCTTTGTCAAACCATCAGCTAGCATCAGTTCCGTCGGACACCACCTGATCTTAAGGCCGGAACGAATCATTGACTGTTTCACTATACCTAGGTCAATAGCAATCCTTTTATCTTCTTGTTTGGATATGGCAGAGACCGAAGTGAGATTGTCAAACAAGGACTTGCAATCTGTGATACTTGTAATTGGCACACGTTCGATCTGATCACGAAACTTCAACTGCGAATTGGATTGAGGTGGAAAGTCCTGAACTTGTTCCGATGTCCTCAAGTCGAAAGGTCCGTTTTTAGCTTCTGCAAGCATGAGGGACATCCATTCGCATACTGCTGAGGCCGTTGAATATGCCTGAGCCTCGCCTCCTAGTGTACATGCTACTTTTCTGGGCAATCTATATGATTTCCAACAGAAAGGGGACCAAACACTCTCTTGGTTTTTCTGGAGTCCTGGACCTACGAAAGCGGCGATGTATCCAGCTTGAGTACTATGACCCTTTGCAGTACCGAATCCTGCATCAGAATGAAAACACAATTCCAACTGAGACCATGGGATGTGTTTCACCATGATTTCTACCCCACTGTATTGTTTTGCTCGATGCACCAGTTGGTTTGCGCAATGAAGATCACTACCTTGGGCTCTGGAAAACACTGTTGAGAGAATGATGTTTGCACACACAGATCCGGCCGACTCTGACTGCTCAGCCAGTTGGCTGCGCCGTTGACAGCCCGAAGCACGGATATTTCTCTATCTGTAGCGAGTGACTCTTTCTGACGAGCTCTCTCTTTGGTCATGTTTATAGGTCTCATGTGTTCAGCGTATTCTTTTTGGCCATACGAGATCTCTTTGGTGTCAGTGTCTTGACTGTAAGTCACTCCACAGAATTCTCCGTTTCCCCGCCTCCATTTGCGGTAGGGAAACCGGTGCTTGAGCTTTGCGATGGCATCTTCATACAGTGGACCTTCTCCTGCTGTGATGGTATCGTCAACATGTGAGCCTAGGATACCACACAAATCACCGGTCTTTGGATCATGCAAGAAGTACAGACAGCTATCGAATTGCGATCGACGAAACGAGCTTGCACGTGCGGCTTCATCAAACGTTCCCCACCAGTTCATTGGAGCGTCGTTGGACCCATAAACGTTTCCAAGAACCTCTATCACATCATTAGGATCCAGACCAGGTACACCCCCTGGGGGTTGAGAAGCATACAGTGGCCGATACCTCTTAGCTATGGGACCTGCCTCTAGGAAGGCTCCTTTGACGTCTCCTAGCTGAAGAACCCACTGTCTACTTACGATGACTTGCAACAACAAGGCTCGTGAAAGAGGATGCATGGTCGGACTATGGCAGGCTCCACTAGTGATTTTGTCATGAAAATCAGGGTCCAAGTGTCCTTGAAGACACCAGCGGCTCTTGATTCGAGCTCCATCTTCATCTTGCTTGTTGATCGCCACGAAGCGGCTTCCGATAAAACGATCGGGAAACCGACGACGAATTTCTTCTGCTTGTGCTCCTCTCCAGACCCGAACAGCATTCTTACCCTCTAGTGTTTCCCACTCCCCGGTTTTGGATTCATCGATTTTTTGCTGCATGTCAGGTTCATTTCCATAAGCTTTGATTTCTTTCTGTTGACGTTTCTGCAAGAAGGCAGCAGTGAGTGTCTCAATGAGCGTTCGTCCATTGAGCTTGTCGTGTCGGGTGACATCAGCAGACAACACTTCACTAAGCAGCATATCATCTTCGTCACCTGTTTTCAGCTTTCGTGGTGGTGGTGAATCAGCTGAGGGATCTTGACTGGCTTCTCGTTTAGAGCTGGTCCCTCGAGGACTCACTGTGCTTTCTACCTCTGTACTGGGACCATGATCTTGGAGATGCCGTTCTATCAGGGA